TTGTACACCTCACCTACTACGTAAGGTACCTACCAGCAGCACCTTAGGTACGGCACCTCAGGCGGTTTTCAGATGACAGGAGAGTACGTATCCTGCAGTACAGCTGTCCTGCATAAGGTACATCTCCCGACTTCCAGGTTGCATACCTTACGGATACTTAACAATTAGAATGTGCCCAACACACAACCCCACCCATTCAAGAACCAGATCTTCTCTGGCTTGGGTTCGCACCTGTGCCTTGACAATGAGAGAGTGACACTTGTGACTTGGGGATACTGCGCAAGAACACCACAGACAGGGGACTCCACCCCGGCGGCAGCACGTCTCCGCATCCGCTGTCACCTATCCCGCCGACGAGGCAACGCCACCTCATGACAGGGGCTCATTTTGTGAGTGGCTGGGCTGCAGGGGAGCCCGGCCGTTTGCTTACCTAACATCTCTCGACCTCTCGGTCTTCTCTTGGGTCTTGAGTCTTGAGTCCTTGAGGCTGCGGTTCTCACCGAATCATGAAACATGCTTCACGTCTCGAGCCAGAAATCAAGCATCTTCAAAGAATCTTCAAGTCCATGAGTGATCGTAGTAATCTTAGCATGCCATATCCCCAGACTCGGTGAGAGACAATGAGGCGGGTGTCCCAAGTGTTAGCTGCAGGAGGCGCCCGAGACTCAATCTTCACCGCCGGACGAGCTGTCAAACTCGAGACGGCAGGTCTAGCGGTCTACTAGCAAACCGTCTTACGTCTTTGGTCTTCACTTTCACACGCAGCCACACTATCATCTTCTCCACTTGAACCACTTGTTGGTTCAAAATTCTTCGGGACTCGTATGCGAGCACTCGAAAGATCTAATCCCCCCTGCCTTGCCTGCATCCCCCCCCCCCCCCAACGCTTCCCAGACGCCCGGTAACAAAGACAGTGGACGGCAAAAGGTCAACACAACACGAATACCTCGTCACAAAACCCCAAAATGAAAGGGACGAGACTCGAACTCGCGCGGGTTGCCCCACCAGGAAACAGATGTTAAGCTGACCTTAACCTGGCGCCATAACCAACTCGGCCACCCTTCCGTGTGGACCTGTTTGGTGAACAGGGGTGCTGTGACGATCCTCGCGCCAGAGCAGACCAAGACCGCCGCGCCATGTCCGTCGTCGTCCATCGAGCCCGTTTAGAATATCGCAAACCGCATGGATAAGCATCACGATAGCATGCGGGACTCGCTGTGGCTGCAAAGCGTGGTGAATAGTGCGACAGCATTACATCGGCTTTTCGTTATTCTCTTTCGTCCTTTTTACTTTCTTCTTCCAAAAACGTTGCGGCCCTGGGCCTATCAATTGTACTGTAAAACACGACTCAATTATCGTTCTCGTTTTCATAATTAAGTTTTATCCTTAATATCTGCATCCTCATTTTAACTTCCCATCTCAGCCCGTGCCATCCACCAACCTTTAGCAAGGTAAGTAAGCTTAAAGACAGGAAACCTTACATCTACAATGTCGTCAAAATCTCGCAGGAATGGAGAGATAATCGTTGGTAAAATCATCACTTTGGTATATAAGCTGCTACAACAAATTCAACGCGAAAGGGAGCGGACCACAAATCTTTCTATCCCGTCTTGGCTCAGCAGGTAGAGCCACCCTTGCAGTGCTCCTCGCACTTGGCCCTCCACTCCTTGCCGCCGAGTCCCTCAAACGTCAGGAACTCGTTGCCGTTGTTGTACACGGCGTAGCATTTCTGCATGTCCACGCGGGTTAGTCACCGATAACTAACGATTGCAAAATGTGCAAGATGCCTGTGTATGAGAGGCAAAGGGGGATTAACGTACGCCGTCCTTGACTTGCGAAAAGACGGTATCCTCGTGGCCCTTGGGCTTGTTGAAGAAGATGCCAGCGCCGGAGTATCCGTTGCAGGCGGCCTGGAGGCAGGTGTCGTCGCCCGTGTTGCATTTGCAGCCGACGTGGGTGTTGGCGGCGGCCCTGTTGTTTGCGTTGCGGTCAGTAAGATGCTCTGGACGCTCATGGGCCGGGAGAGGTGGAGGCGGAGGTGCTTACATGTAGGGCAGGACAACTGCCAGAACAAACTTGGTGAAGTGCATCTTGAAAGAGAGTGGATGGTTATGCTGTGAGAAACGAATGTAGAGGCTGTGGAGTGAGAGACAAAGACAATGATGACTTCGAGCTCTATTCAACTGTCCAGACGAGGGACTTGAATGCCCTTTATACAGATCACATTCCTTCTTCAACTTCACAGGTGGAACGACAACATGCCTGTGTCTCTCGGGTACGGATACACTAGTTCACCTACAATGATCTACTTAGATTACCTCAGTTTGAAGTCAAACTCTATGTCTAATTTCATACTCTGATCAAGCTCACGGACTCGCACAAGTCGCCTCATTCATCAGTCGCCGTTCCACAACGTCACCCAGCGGTCGCGGTCTGGCTCTAGCCCTACCAATCTCAGAGGCTTAGACCATTCAAGCGTGGAGACAACTGACGGAAAATATCTAAGGAGTCGTTTGATCTTGCGGTAGTTCATCCAGTGGAGTGACCTCTACGGTGTATCCGACGATCCGCAACCAAGTGCCCTGAGTCGAGACGAGATTAAAATACATGTGGATGGAATCCGAGAAAAGTAGAGAGTCCAATCTCTATCCGGTGCGGGAGGTCAGTAGAGTAAGGCAGAGCGACGAGATACGCACGACTCAGTGTCCCAGAAATCTCGAACCCGTGAAGCGGACTACTCCGTCTTGTTGGGAGCACCAAAGTCATCAACCCAGTATTCTCACCTCCTGTCCCGTCCGTGCCCGTTATCCGAACTCGACCGTACCCCGTGTTGGTAACGGGAAATCTCTCGGAGCCGGATGACTCCGTAGCGGCAATGCTCTTAGGACGTTTTACGGCCAACGCGCGGCGCCAACTAGTGATCCGATCGTTCACGTTATGCTTCAGCTGCCCAGCGATACCGGATGCGCAACTAAGTCTAGCATGCAAAAGAACAATCCAGTAGCGTATGTAACAACACAAGCTAAGGAGTATCCGTAGGGCGCAGCGAATTCCGCCAAGACCACGCTCAATCTATCTTACGTGAAACTTGGAGCCCGTTCTGGTCCTCAAACTTGGGGGGGCCACAACTTACACTCCCAAGCTGAAATCTCGAGTCTGTGAGCAGCGTGGTGCTCCGCGTCGCTGTCCTTTGAAGAACCCAAGGTGACATATCTTTGGGGGGGCATATATAAGGCGTTTCTCGCATCGTTGATTGATCGGACGTCCCCAACGAGACCGACTCATTGGAGGGTGGAGGCATTGCTGTTGCAATTGCATCGACGGGCTCAACAGCCGGTACACTAAAGTACCTAGGCACCTGCCTTACATCACGTTGTTGCAACTGCACGGCAGCAGCGAACGGCTGGAATCCTCAGCGAACGGAGCGGCGAAGGGCTCCAAGCCGCACTAGCTACCTAGCCGATGTGCCGGAGGCGGCGGAAGCTGAAGGACAATGGGGGTGAGACGGGTGCGAGGTGGGGACTTTTTCGGAAAGCATTTTGCCGGGTGGCCATTCCGCTGTGGGGCCGTGCGGCCGGGGCTCGGGAGTGGCTAGGGATTTCCCCCGTGCTATTAGCCAGGGAGGCAAGCCACATCTAGGTCATTCCATCAAGAGAGCAAACAAACGTAGCCTTCTCGAGAGACTAACGTCACGCATTCATCGCTCCGAGACCGCATTGGCAGACTCGCGTCTTAGTAGACAGCTTGTGGATGGAGTTGGAAAGATGTTCAAGGGTATATTGCGATCACAAATCTATTCCACTTCATACTGCATTTCTATCTTGATACTCGGCGCCATCGCCACCATCCACCACCCGCCTATCCTGGATATCTTCTATGCTGGAATCGTCATGTATTGAGTGCCTGTATACCGACCAATGGGGCCCTATTACCGAGTCAGTCGTGATCAAACACCACGGCCCTTTATCTCCCCTACTCACAGCTTCTCCCACCCATCTGTGTCCGGGTTGCAATCTCCTCAGTCTAAGGGCGGCAGTACGAGCAACGAGCATGTGTGCACGCCACAAACGCATCGTTGGGCTTGTTGTTGAAGTCACAGTACTCGTAGCACTCCATCAGGTTCTTGTCGGGGCAGACCTGTGCGCTGGCGAACGAGAGGCCGGCCACTAGGATGGATAGAACGGGTGCGAGCTTCATGTTGGCGAGTACGGAGTATTCGTATACCGGGTCTTGAAAATAATAGAAGGGAGGGTTTACCTAGGAGAATGGAGTTGCCAAGAGTGTTTATAAAGGACTTTCTCCCCCCCCCCCCCTTCCTTCTTATAAGCGCAACTGTGCCTATAAGGTGTTGCGCTCCGACGGGGGAAAAAAAAGTGATTAGGCTATGTAGGGTGTAGCAGCGGCAGTGCCGGTGTTGATGATTTCCCCGAGTCGGGGATGATGATGCTCGCAAGCCGACTCGGGAAATAACTACGCGTGGAGCAGAAACGATATTGATAACCTGCATTATGACACATGGACACACTATCAAACGTTATGATTGGGGAACAATCGCCAGTAGAACCTATGGTGGGCTGTCTAGCAAGAGACACGACTCAAGGCCCTAGTCTCTGGCACGGCTGTACGGATACGGCGTATACGGGTCACGGATAGCATGGAAATAAGCTTTCGTAGTACAAAGTCACAGACTACGAAGTAGTAGCGAAAGTGAAAGACCGTGCTTAGTCGCGAGAGTTCATTTCGTTCCTCTCAAGGTTCATGACTATAGTCTAGACTAAGGCGTCACCCCATCGTCCCAACTCCCACGTGCCCGCTGTCTTGTTTCTTTAAGATTGCCAAGACGACTTTTCTTTCGGAAATAAACCTCCTGAGGATGCTTGATTCGACGGTGGAGGAAACACACAAGAGTCCATGTCTCAACTCATCTGGGTACGGAGTGCAAGACAATAATTCATACGTTCCGCTCATAAATCTACGGACATGATACTACCAAGGATATCCTATAACTCTTCGCTCCAATCGCCCTCCTCTCCTAATTCAACAAACCGGGCCAGCCGCCTCTTGAGTTCCTCCACACCAATCCTCCTCGAAGACGAAGTCGACGACAATAACGGCGGCGCTGGCGGTGGCAAGAGCACCTCATCCAGGATATGCACAACGCCATCCCTGACCGGCACATCTCTCGCTGATACCGCCGCCCCATTCACACCAACACCCCCCTTCACCACGCCCACCGGCCGTCCAGCGTCACCCGTACGTCCCGCGCTGCGAAAAACCACCGCCTCGATCGTGACCCTCGCCCCGTCAAGCAGAGTCTGAACATCCCGTCGCACCCGCCCCGCCCCGTCGGCGTCCTCCCCGAGGTCCCTCCCCCCGTCGGTCTTCTTCTCCATCTCCTCCTCATCCATCTCCACGCCTTTGAAAAAGTCCGTATAAATCACCTCCGCAACAAAATGATACCTCACCAAAGCCTCGAGAAACTTGGCCCCCTCCCGCGAAGAAAAGAGGAAATCCATCGCTTCCTCGCCCAACTTATCCCACGCCTCATTCGACGGCGCAAACACCGTGATCCCAGAGCCACCGCGCAGGCGCCGCAAAACTTCCTCGCTCACTCCGCTCCGCTTCATCGCCTTCGCAAAAGCCCCCAGCGTATCCTCCGGCACCGCAGCACCGACGAGTATATCCCACCGCGGCGGCGGAATCAGAACCTCGTCTATAAAGTGGACGACAACGGCACCATCCCCGCTCTCCCTCGATTCGGAAGCGAGAACCCGGGCGTAAAAGTTGATCTCGACACCCGATGGCCCCTCCGTGATCCTCACTCTCTGCCGTCGAAGCTCCCCGCCCCCACCTTCTTCGAGAACCGTCTCCGCCGTCCGCAGACCACGGAGGTCTTGGTAAGTATACCGCCCCGGAAGAACGTGGTACTCGAGGATCTCGCCGAGTAGCTCCGCTCGGCTGAGTTCGAAAACGCCCTCGAGCTTCCGAAAGGCCGAGTCCGTGGGGACGAAGATCGTGAACTGCTCTTGTTTCTGCGTTTGCTCGTCGTTGTTGCTGAGAAGCATGTCGTGGACCTTGTCGTATGAGGTGAGGAGCGTCGTGAAGTACTCCGTTTGCATGCCGCTCTCTTTGATCAACGTCAAGAGATTCTCCCCTTTGTCTGCTTCTTCTTGACGCGATCTCGGATCTTCACTTGTTATTTGCTGTAGTACGACCGGCGCTGCGTGGCCGGTTCCGATGTCGTGGGCGTCGGTTGGATGTCCCATCACGCGTCTACCGGCCTGGGCCACGGCTCCAGCAGCTTGGTAGAACATGCCGCCAATGGCATTGACCACATCGCCGAGTGACGATGACTTGTCATAACTCCGTGCCCGCGTTGTCTCCCAACTCGACCCCCTCGAGCTCACATCCTGGATTCTTACTATTGACGGCTCGGGCCTAGTCTCGGGTAAAGCAAAAGCCGAGACAGAAGCAGCCACAGCCGCGTATGGCAAGACACAACTCGCCTTCATATCCTCAATATCTTGGGTATCCGATATCAAAGCAGCCGCAGACGGCGACGACGGCGAAGAATCCACTGACGATGAGCGAACGTGACGTATCAGCTTTTCAGAGAGATTTCGACGGAGAGAAGTAGAAGGGTTGAAACGGATTTGTATTCGACGCCCCATGGAGAAGTACTCGCTCCCGATCATAGCCCTATATAGGTAAAAGGTAATTATTGTGTAATTCTCCAACACAAAGAATGGGTCTGAGACATTCACGACCCGGACGAAGTGGGCGTCCCGGTCTCCGCTGATGTAGGTTTCCTGTCATCGGATGGAGACATAGAGGTTCCCGTCTCCCCCCCCCCCCCCTCCCGGTCCCGGGCGGGCAGCAGCATCGAGGCGGACCATCAGGGTCCGCATTTGCAGTTTGACTTACACCGCACCGTCGCGGCTCTGCATGCTGTTCCACTTCTTCCCGGTACATGTGATATTCAGATCCATTGTTGGCTTTGACTGGTTGAGAATGTAGACAAGTCGTGTCTTGGCGGTTGTGTAGGACAACAAGGTGTCGTCGCCCGAGTCCGAGAATACCGGGTCCAAGGGCATGATGTACCGTCCGCCGCGATGCATCCAGGAAGTGTGTCCCACGGCCATTTTGCTACCTCGTTCTTTTTGACTCATCTCAGAGTATTGACATGGTGATGCCGTAAAAAGTTGTACAAAGGCAGGCGAGCTCACACTCGCGGGCCCCCAAACCCGCCAACAACCCGAATTTCCCCAGCCTTCTTCCGTTCCACGGCCTCAAAGGCATCGACAACCCGCCCGCTCCTGACATCAACAACACCCCATCGCTGCTCTCTGCTCTTTCTCGAGGCCCTTCTTCTTCCACCCACTTCCGCTTCCGTCCCGTGCTCCCAAACACCAATCTCGTCAAGAAGGACCTCCAAAGCCCACACAAATCTCACACCCCCTGTGCCATCATCTTCCCCTCCACCGCCACCCCCAGGCGCAGCAGTATACAATCTCTCAGCATCTTCCTTATCCCTAGGTATTTTCGTACACAGCAGGTGTAAATCGAGAAGCTGCGAAAACACAAGCCCAAAGGTGGGTTTATTCCGCCTCGACGCCACCTGGTTCCCGCCGTAGCCGTAACCCGTGATATTCAGCGCAGGTGGGTTAAAGATGGATCGGAGCGTCGGGTCGACCGCCTTACCACCACTGCCAGTGCCATGTTCTCCTCCATTCGGTGGTGGCGGCGGCTGACCTCCCTGGGCATTCGCGGGCTTGGATACCGTCGACTCTTTTGAAGAGCTCGTGCTGTTGAGGAGCATGATCAAGGGGCTAGTCTCCAGGTTTCTGGATAGATACCGCAGGTGGGAGGAGAGGCGTTGGAGCGAGTCATGCGCGGACTGACGGTCGCGGCGGGTGAAGAGGGCCGTCATGAGGCTGTGGAAGTGGGTGATGAGGATGATATCCGGCAAGGTTGGACCTTTCGAATCGTCGTCTTCTGGGGATCTGCTCTTGGGTGTTGCTACGGCTGCGGTGGCCTCGGGAATCTCGTTCTCCGGCGGCGGTGGTCTACTCTCAGTCTCCTCCTCGTGAAGCTCTTCTGTGACTTGTTCTGGCGTTCCTTCAACATTATTATCCAGGTCGTCCCCCTGTGCGCCTTCAGTAACTTCCTCTTCATCCGCTCCTCTCTCGGGAGAATCTGCAGTTATAAACGGCGTCGGGGACCGAATTGTCGAAGGCGGCGGTGACAGCGAAGACGACGACGAAGATGGCAGCGAGATGGCGTCCTCATCGTCATCCTCGTCACTGTCCGCGATCTCTGTTCTCGTAGATTTGATCGGCTGAGGCCGTGGCTTGAGTTCCGGCAACACAATCCTCTCGGGCTGTTGAGATACTGCTGGCTCAGGCGCAGCATGCTCTTGTCCCCTCGACGAATTCGCCGCATCCTCAGCAGGCGCTTCCACACCGGCCGAGCCTTCCGCAACCCCTTCATTACTCTTATCGTCTCCCGTATCATGCTTATCATCATCCTTCGACCGCTCCCTAGATGGTGCGCGAACCCCGGGGGAGGAGACCACGCGTGGCTCAGGACTCTCAGGCAGAATGTCCAAGTCGCCAAGAGCCTCCCACAAGCCCTCGAAATCAAACACCCTCGAGACAGAGACCCTCCCCAAACACCGCCTCAACCTCGTCGCCACATCCGCCTCAGCGGCGCCGCGGACCACGAGCTCCGTTCGAATGGCGTCCCTCAGCGGCGGGAGGATGGCCGCAGGAGGCTGCGTCGTGACAACCATCACCCTCGCCTCCTTGCCCCTCTCATCATTCTCGAGCTCCTTTCCGCAGAGTGTCTTGGCCAGGGCCTGCATCGAAATCTAATCATACAAAGTCAGTTCATTTCCCCTTTGACTCCCTCAATGCAGAATAAGACTAACCAAGATCCCCATCTGCTCGCTCTCAGAACTAAGCCCAACAACACTCCCCCTCTCGAACCCGCCACAGAGGACCTCCTCATCGACCTCCTGGCTCCCGACCTGCACTCGACCCCTCGCCACCGTTGCATCTCTGCGCTTCGTCTCCCGACTGCAGAGGACGGCTGCGGAGACTGGCTCAAGGGGGAAATGCGAGCTCGCCTGCGAAGCGGGGAATATCATTTCATCGCCGCCGTCGTCATTGGCGCCTGCCATATTTGTATGCCTTCTTCTTCTTCCGGGGCTCACCGTGGCCCTAGCCGTTCTGGAACAAGACAAGTAACAAAATAAAAGGGTATCATTTCCGTGCCATTTCGACTTATTCTTTCGTCGACTCTGCTGCGTCTCTACTCTGAGATGGAATAATGGAAGCCGGCAAGAAGGTATCGTCAAGTCACATGATGGCAGCTGCCAACAGTTGCGCGGATTAAATTCCGACGAGAGTTCCAGGGGAAGGGAGGAGCTGTTGTAAATTCTCCGCTGGAAATCTCGATTCAAGTCTCGGCGCTTTCCAGGGCCAGCCAGACTGGCACTTTGGGTTGGGACAGGGCCTTATCAGCCACCTCAAGGCTCAATGACATCACCCCTGTGTCTTGCATGATTGTCACTTATGCAGCCCTTTCTCACTCCTTGCCTTCCACCTTACTCAACGCATCTCATCCGGACTTCGCCATACTAAAACCCTTGCTAGGGGGACACGGCAGCCTAGGTAGTCATGCATTTTGTGCTTTTCTTGTCAATAAGCCGATCCCTTGTTCCAAAAATACCTTGCACATGTTGAGTATCCCATCATTGTCGCTACCTTATCACTGTTGAATGCACTGCAAATTAGCGCTGAGAAACGTCATGTGAGGCTCAATGTTCTCTATTTTCAATAAAGCTAATTCATAACAATCTGCCGACGGACTGTTGGATTGCCTGCTCTATGCCTTCCCTTTGTGTAAAGTGCCTCTGCCGGCCCTGGAATATTTGTAGCAAAAGAGGCAGAAAAGGAGGCTCGTTTCCTCCCAAAGAAATATGATTATTCACGAGAAAGGTATCACTTGTCGGGTGGTGTGAAAATCCAGACGCATATGCGCGACCGCTCCGCCCTGACAATCGTAGTTCTCGTCCTGATGGCTTCTCCAAGAGCCACCCAACCCAATTCGAGATCCCAACCGTATTGACTCCCTCCACAAATGATCCAGAATTCGATATTATCGGATCCGTAGCCCAATGTGTTTGCATTGTAACCAGATTGGTTCAAACAACTTCACGTCGTTCGTTCTTGGGGTGCATCGACTGCACCCTTTCTCTTTCTTGAAACTAATCGCCTCATAGTGAGGCGATTGATGAATGGCAAGGACTTTCTTTGCCGTATGCCTTCGCATTCGTCTTGTTGTGCCCTTTGTGTTGGCTCGGTGCTCTCGTATCCTGCTTCCTAAGTTCTGCGAAACCACTAGGCGGCAGTGCCAGGTGCAGGAGGCGGTGCCATGGCATCGGAAGCCTGGCGTCTGCGTCCACCCTTCAGACTCTTGACTCTGGCCATGAAGCCTCCAGAAGGCTTGCTGGGTCCGTCCTCGGTCGGTGACATCATGTCAGCTGTGGCACGACGCTCGAGGCCATTAGCAGAGCCTCGACGGGGCACTGGGGGAGGTACACCAGGCGAACGGGTACCGTTGTCGGCTCGCTTGACCGAGATTGTCTCGGGCTCCTTTCCATACTCAGAAAAGAAGGGGTTACGCTCGCCAGTGTACGAAATGCTGCTGGCGGGTCCATTGGTATCGGGCGATCGGCGGGAGGTGTATGCCCCCTCAGGATTAGTGATTCGACCAGAAGGACCATATTCGCGGGGCTCCCTCTTCATTCCACGAATGCGCTGGGCGATGGACTTGCTGCGGCCAAGGCCCTCGGAGGTTGACTGCTGGGCTTGCTCAGCCTGAGTCTTCTGGATGGCAGCTCGGGCAGCAGGAGTACCCTCCAGGAAGGTCGAGGCACCGAGTCCCATGGATTCCTCTCCGTAAACGATCGAACCGCGAGCTCGGGGGTCAAAGACAGCGGGATCATCCTTGCGCTCAAGTCTGGCAGCAGTTGCGAAGTCTGCCGATGCCTCGCCGTCGTTGTGGCCCATGAACACAGCATGGTCCGGACGCTTGTTGAGGGGACCGGAGCCGCCAAGGGACATGTTGAGGGAGTCCTTGGCAAAGGCTTGCATCGGTGCACGTCGGCTGCCCTTGCGGTTACGGTGGGGGTTGGCTGCATCGAAAGGACCGTCGTGATGGAACACTACATGCCATTAGCCTGAAAATTTCCACTAAAAAAAAAGCTTTACTCACATCCGGTGCCGTAGATGCTGGTGGCATCCAATTGGTCGATGATATCGATTCTGCGACTGGGCTTCTTGGGGTCCTTATCCTTTCCTTCCCGGGCGCGGCGTTCTCTTTCCCGACGTCTGGCTTCCTTCGCCTTTCTCTCTTCGTCGGTCGGGGACTTCTCGATATCAATCAGTACGGACGACTCAGAGTTCCTGCGCGGTCGGCGTTCCTGAGGTCGGCGTTGGGGCGATCCAGGAGCTCCACCAGGTCGGGGAGGACCACCACTGCCCTCAAGGCGTCGCTGTCTCATCGCCTCCTCCTGAGATCTCGATGGACGGTGGCCGGGTGGCGGAGGACCGCGACGGGCTCCAGGCGGCACATTCTCGCGTCCTGGCACTCCAGGAGGGCGATTCGTCGGGGGTCGAGGTTGCTTCTGATCGTTAATGGTGAGACCATCCTGTCGGGCGGAAAGTCAGTAACCTGCGAACTCTCAATGGACGCGCGGCAAGAATTCAATTGGCGACCGAGGGATCGGTCCGGGTTCCATCAATTGATTCATCGGGGGCAACGTACAAACAGCTCCTCAGCGGTAGGCGATGCCTTGTTGTCCAGTGATGTCGACATGGTGCCTGCTCCGATCAAGTTCGGTTGACTACTCGAGTATGATGGATCGAGGAATGGGTTGCGCGAGACAGGTCGGGGAGGGTCGTCAAAAGGCGAAGCGGGAGAGGTGGTATTCGTAGTGCCGGAGAGTAGTGGGGAGGCAGCGCGGTTGCGAAAGGGGTTGTTGGATGAGAGATTAAGCGTCAAGCCAGCGCCAGCAGATTTGCTAGGTTGATGGCCTATTCCAAGGAAGTAAAGTTAGCACTCGATAGGAGGAAGGAGAGAGACAGAGAAAGACAGCGACGGC